TTATATTTTTCTCTGAAATGAAAGTTGTGGTATAGGATGGCAACAATAGAAGTGTAATAATAAAAGCAAGACTCAGAAATCATTATGCATTCATATAGTAAGCATATTTCCAGCTTTTCTGCTTGCCACTGAATTACATTAGGTTTTGAAATTCTTTCTTCTGTGGTTTTTATTTTCCTCCCATTCATATCCTCGACTGAAGATGAATCCTAGTTCTTATACTCTGCCTCTACAGAAAAGTCGTATTTGTCTGCAAGCGCTCTATTTAATTTTTAAAATGATTTTTATTACTTCATACAAGGGAGGCATCTGGAAATTACATTCCTTAATAAACTGCCCTTATTTTTTCTCGTGAAACAGTTTGTTTTCTGTTTTTCTTTTTCAAATGGCCATTGGCACTTTTCTGATTGATAATACAGGGCTACTAGAGGAGCAGCTCCTGCCAGGTGAAAAGGGTTGTTTTTTGAAATTTCACTCTGTTTTTGTGTTATATTTAATTAGAAACATGCCACTTTATATTCTTCCCTTCCCCCCATTTTTAATTTTTCTTTGTAGTTGATTTTTCAGTTTTCATTGAACTTGCAAATCAATGGAAAATCTGTTAAAAGAAATTTTTAGTTTGTTAATTCTCTGCTGGATTTGCTGGTCTTTCTGAAGGACAAAAAGTTGTATCAGGTGTGAAACAGGTGGGTGAAAAGACTACTAGAATGCTGATTTTGAAAGTCCACAGTGAATAGCATTCCACTTGAAAAAGCAGTTTCAGGCTAACTTACGGCGTTAAAGGGACTGTCATGTTGACTAGACATGTGGAACAAGAAGTAAGCTTCCTTTTGTGCCACCTTACTCTATTTGAATTTTATACCCAAAAGGTTTTCTTAAATGTCTGTTTTAAATGGAGGGATTTTACATCTTTCTGATCTGTTTGGAGTAGAGCCAAGAGCATTTATGACAAAGGTGACTGAGTAACAGGTAATGGCAAAGAGCATTTATGACAAAGGTGACCAGGTAATGTAAAGCAGAGTAAAATCCCATCAACTGTGCTGATTCATTCCCTGCTCATGTGAATCCATTTGTTACCTAGAAAGCACCACGGACCCATTTATCTATTAAAATTTAGTTAGCACTAAAATGTTACATATGTATTTTTTACCTAAATGTGTTGAATATTCATTATGTTCCATAAGATAATGGAAAAGAGAAATTGAATTGATGATTGTTCCTGCCTTCAAGAGTGTTACAGTCTACCAGAAAAAGAAATACGCAAATATTTATAATGAGAGTGGGGCCTATGATAATTAAGTGCATAGGAATTCAGAGCAGTGAGTGATGATCGTCATTTGTGGGAACTGGGGAAGGCTTTCCAGTGTCATGGTATTTGTATTGCCATCTGAAAGATGGATGAGAGACAGACTAATGGAAATGAGAGAGGTGTTTATTCTGGGCAATAAATAAATAACAAAGGCCCCGATGAAAGAAATGACAGTAGTTTGCTTGCTGAATAGATTGGAAATACAGGACTGAGAGGCAGAACAGAATACTTTCATTGCCACTTAGATTTTAGACATACTGTAACGATTCGGGGAGACCTGAAACAGCCTAGTAAAAATGAAGAGGAAGAGATGGCAAGAAGTTATTTTGTATAGGTATCATTGATTAATTTTACAGCCTACTGAGAAGCAAAAACTAGCAGTCAAATTTGAGTCTGTAGTGTTAATCCTGGGTGGTTGGGAGAATGATGATATCCTCTTTTTTTTTGAGATGGAGTCTCATTCTGTTGCCCAGGCTGAAGTGAGTGGCATGATCTCGGCTCACTGCAACCTCTGCCTCCTGGTTCAAGCAAATCTCTCTGCCTCAGCCTCCTGAGTAGCTGGGATTATAGGTGTGTGCCACCATGCCTGGCTAATTTTTTTGTATTTTTAGTAGAGATGGGTTTCACCATGTTGGTCAGGCTGGTCTCAAACTCCTGACCTCATGATCCACCTGCCTTAGCCTCCCAAAGTGCTCGGATTACTGGTGTGAGCCGCCCTGGCCAGTTGAATGATGCTATTCTTAACAGAAAGAGGACCTATGAATTTTTGAGCAAAGTAGTTTTGGAGGAGATTTACACAGATGATTTTGGAATTAAAACCCTGTTCCTATAAAATCTCTGGAAGCCTCGATTATTTAAAGGAATATCTGGCTTTCAGCCAGGGTGTAAATTTATTGCTTCTGGATTTTAATTTAGGTATAGTTCTGATAACTTTGTGTCTGTGAGAAGTTTATATAATCACCTTTGTGCCAGCTGATATCCTGTGTTGCCTTTACTGCCCTATATAAATGAGGTTCCATAATGACTTGAGGTTACATAATGATTTGCATTTACTTTGTAATATTTACTTAATATGCAATCAAGAGGGAAATATATGTGTAAGTACAACCCCTGAAAAGGATTTAAAAAGGACTTTGTCCCCCAAATGACAGCAAAAGTTTAATAAAAAGAAAAAATGTTGAGGGAAGCCAGGTGGCTTCCAAATGGGAACCCAGGTGAAGAGTACAGGTGATTATGATAGAAAACACTGACATTCAAATCAGATTCATTTGATGGCTCTGAGCTCTGGGATAATAGATTCAGACGCCATTTCAAAGTATAGTTCACCAGACTCCTTTCACAAGCCTAAGAGGTTTTTCCTATCTGCTGTCAGAGTTCTACAGTTTCTGAAGATTCATATCAGTGGTCTATAGTGCTATGAGAATTCTATGATGTATGGAGACTCCACTGGAAAAGGCTGGACCTGAAATGTGAATATTAGGTGGAAACATGGTTATGTAAAGGACTCTAAAGGTCTGTCTTCAAATGGAAAAAAAAGGTGGGTATCTGTATGTGTTTGAGTGTTTAACAATTATTTTGATTAAAAGAGAAGAAAATAATTTGTTTTAATTTCTTCTCAAGTGTTCTTTTTTTTAAACCTAAATCCCAGTGAGTTGTTTTCCTTTTAATCCAAAAAACTTTAAAGAGTGATTGAGTTCTTTTCAGTATGATTTTTATTTACTCTCCATTTCAATTGCTTTTGAGAAAGTGGTAACAATAGAGACTCATAATATTCTCTGCTTTACTCATGTAATCTGAGTGATGGACTAGATATTTGTGGTATATGAAGACATAAAAGTTATATGCTGTTTCAACTATTTGTTACTCTCATTTTCTGCAAAACTTATAGGGTTCCTGCTCCATCCCTGTTCCTGCTCCCCATCCCACTGAGAGCGATTTCTGCCCCTCAATAAAACCCTCCACATTCACACCTACCAATTTGTTCCTGAGGCCTCATTCCTCTTGGATGCCGGACAAGCTGAGATATATCAGCAATGTCTAAGCTAATGTTCTCCCACCCAGGTCTACTTAAAAATCTACATTCTCAATTTTAGTTCTGTGGCAAATGCCTGGAAATCTAATGAAAGTAGATAACGGGAAAATGCTGTTTGATAAATGTCTTTCTTTATTCTTACATCAGTAAAACAGGTCTTGAATTTCTTTGAAAGTAGAAGCAAAGGTAAGTAGACTATCAAAGTGCAGGCAAATCTCATGAGACAACATTAATATATCGTAAGCAAAAAATTGAGGAATAATGAGTTAGAAATATCTTATAAACTGGTTAATGAGAATTTATAAGAAGAAAGGTAAGGATTGTGGGCAAAAAGGGATCTTGACACTATAATTGTAGCTGCCTAGGCTAGGAGCGTGTTATCTACGTTACAGCAAAGGAAGTATATAGTGTTCAGCTGTAATAGTTCCCTTGACTTCGTGAAGGGGTGACTCGCTTACTCAGCCGGCAGATCTCAAGCCCCTTGTGGGAATAGGGGCATGCAGATGAGTGGGTGCATAGGCTGGGATGAGTGCTTCTGGACACAGCCTCGTGGCAGTGTCTAGAGGTTGCCCTCGACCCCCAGAGCCCCAGATGGTGTGTATTACAGCATATTCCTTCAGCTTTGCCACACATGAATGGCTTAAGTGTTAAACAGCTCAGTGGGAGTCAGTGTGGCAGCCTCTTGCACCCACACCTGGGTGCTTGTCCGGCATCCAAGAGGAATGAGGCCTCAGGAACAAATTGGTAGGTGTGAATGTGGAGGATTTTATTGAGGGGCAGAAATCGCTCTCAGCGGGATGGGAAGCAGGAACAGGGATGGAGCAGGACTGCGGTCTTTCTCTGGAGTTCTGACATTCACAGCGGAACCTTTCTCTGATCATCCCCCACTGAACTCCTCTCCGACCATAACCTCCAGTGACCAGTTGTTGTTTCTCTTGATATTCAGATGCTATTTCTCTTCTGTCCTCCTCTGCTTCACCGCTCTGCTGCCCTGTCTCCCCTCTGCCAGTGGAACCTGGGGTTTTTATGGGAACAGAATGGGGCTGGGGTAGGCCAGGGTGGTTTTTATAAAAGCAGTATTTGGGCAGGAAAACAGAAATGCATGTTCTCAGTTAAGGCTGTGGGTCCAGACTTGAGGCTGGAGCCTTCGCTAGGGACCTCACCCTTTTTTATCTAGTATTTCCCTTCCTCCTGTCCGTTTCTGGGTTCCCAATGGGGTATTGTGATATGAGGCCAGTGAAATGAGAGAAGAGAGAGCCAGAAGCAAAGTAATTGCTGCTAGTGAGATGTGCATCATTATATTAATCCAGAAAAAGAAAATTATCAAAGGATCATATCACTTAAAACTTTGGTAATCCTTAAATTTTAATAATCATTCAAATTTGACAATTATTGCCTTATCATGGTCTCTTTCAGACAATTAGCTTATACATAAAGTCACACAAAAACAAGAATTTCTCATTTGTTCATTTTAAGTGGCCGGGAAGATACAGCAACCAGCAGATAAATGGCCCTGATTCTCAGTGTATATGTCTCACTAAAGTCGATTTTTTGCTCATCTGAGACCATTCTTTTTCTGGTTATTCTAACTGCCTACCTACATTGACTGGCCCCTAACATCAGCTGATGTTGCTAATAGTTGCAGCAGCTGCTATTGCCCGTGATCTAACAAGTAGCTGACTTTGCCACTCCCTTACTTGCTACCAGCTGGCAAAACAATTATTAGGTGCTTGGAGTGAACAGTAAACATTTGACTCAAGGTGGGGGAACCTTTTCATTCTATAAAAATTATAACACTGATTCAGACAAATCACTTGCTAAGGAATTCAACAATTTTTTGTCTCTATTCCAAGGTTCAGAGGTCAGACGTTTAACTACTGGCTGGAATGGTGGAAAGGGGGAATGTAAGGAGAAAAGCTGGCCATCGCATGACACAACTATAAACAGGTACCTATCTTTACTGTCTAACATACTGTTTTTTCTAAGTATATTTTTAATTGGAGTGAATGGAATTCCTCTTATTTTAGTAACAGATGTTTGAGATAGTTACTTTTGATTTTGATAGCTCATAAGAGGTAGCATTTTGAAAGAAGAGATATGGTTAGTGACTTATTCTGGAACACAATTTCTTAGCAGTTTTCTCTTGACATTTAGCCCCTTAATGTATTATAGAATGGTGTGCTATTTTGTGGTGGGCTTGTCTAGGTAAAACAGGGTTCTGGCTCTGAAATACACTTCTGCCCGTGGACTGAGGAAAAAATCTCTTAGAAAATCAACTTAAGGTAAATAGAAAGATAAATCCTTTTCCCAAATAGTATGTTGGGACTCCTAAGAATGAGAGTAAGCCACAAAGCCCAAAAGAAAGAGAAATGTAAATTTTTAGGATTTTCAGAAAACTCTAGGTGGGTAAGGATTATTCATTTCTACTGCACAATGAAGAGGGGAGGCCGTTTCTCCTTAACAGAGTGTGTTTTGCCTTTGAGAATTATATTTTATCCCCCCACCCCCACCTCCACCTCCCGCTGTCAGGGTGTTAAACTGCCCTCATCAACTAGGTGGTGTTCAGATCTTTTAACTCACTCCTTGACCTCTGCCTGTCTTTCCTCCTGTGGAAATTACCAGCTTGCACCCAGGCTGATTCCATGTGCCTCTAAAGCTGATCTGACATTTCAGCCCATTTTGTCCTGATTTCCATCTATAGTTCTATCAAGGAACAGTATGAGGAGAAGTAGAGTAAACTCCTTTAAACCTAATCTGAATTCCTAACAATTTAGATGTTAGGAATAAGTCTAGTGATCCCAAGTGGAAGAAGATAGGGCTGCATCTCCCCAAATTCACATGAGGGAAAAAATGTTAATCTATTGTAGCTTTGCTTATGTACCATTTCTATGTCTAAACTCCTTCATTTGTGATTTATCAAGATTATTAATCACTCAAATTCCTGAATTATTAAATTCACAACATGCTTCAAAATTCTTTTACAAAAATTGGGATGAGGTTTTGATATAGAAATCAAATTCATAAAGTAAATATATTATTTAACCACCATCCATTTTACTGAAGATGATAACTACATAGTAGCAACTTGCATATCAGTCTCTTAAATGAAATAATTGAGTACTTCCACCTTAAGAGTCTTAAAGTACTGAAGCTGTTTTTCATACCCAGCAATTACTCAGAATGCATTTTTCACATAACTGACAATCCTATTACTGCTGCATGAACAAATCCAAATGCCAAAATGTCAGGAAAAAGCAGTTGAGACCACGTACACTAAGGGAAATCTGAGGTTTTTATTTCCAGAGAACTGTACCTCTTCCTCTCCTTGAAATGGTCCACAGAGTTGTTTGGCTAATGCTCCTAATGTCACAGCTGCCCTGCCAAGTTATCTGTCTCTCTTCTTCTGTTGAAACTATACAGACAGTCCTCGTTAGTGCCTTTGTGTCCTATGACCCAGTCCCATTGTGGCTCAGAATGAGAAAGTTAAAAGGGTAAAACAATTTATGAGGCTAGCTGAGCAACTGATTCCCTGGGGATTCACCCTTGATCTTTGTGGAGGTAATATTTCCATAGATAAATAGGGGCTTTGTTTTTTTCTATGAAGACAGTTAATCCAAACTTTAAAGACACTTGAATTCTAGAATCACTTTACTGTTCTTTTGCTATAATGATTTAGATTGAATGTCACTGTGCACTCAACCTTACCAGATAATTGAGCAAATATGTGCTTTATTTGATGATAGTCATGGCTTTCTAAATATCAATGACTGCAGTTTTAGAGTATAAAATAATAATTGTCAAATATGTACTCATTATGAATGAGACACAAAACTTAAAAAAGTTATTTTGAAATTAATGGATTTGAACTTAGAATAAATTGTCTTTAAAAAAGTATAATTACTTAATTATAACTCTTACATTTTGCTTAAAGAGCAAAGTACTATACTGAAAGTGTAGGTTTAATTTTTTTTTTCCAGTGGGAGAGAATTAGCTATTTTAAAAATAATTATTTTCAATGAAATTTTTATCTGAGGTTTCTGGCAATCAACAGCACATTCTTTCACAGTCTATTTATGTTTCATTATTTTCCTATATGTTTATCATGTATGGTAATAAAGAATGGGTTGCTCTCAGAAAAATATATATTTTACATTTTTTTTTTGGTTGGAAACATTTCTAGCTGATTAATTCTCACCCTGTCATTTAGATTTTTGTCAGGTCCTCTACTTTTGTAATGGCTTGCCAGGTATGTAGTATAATCTTTGACTATGAACCAATGTGAAAAAGTAAGAAGGAAGTAAATTGACATTGAATGGCTGCAGCTCTGTGGGAGGCAGTGGGATGGCACTATGTGCATCACACTCAGTTCTTTAGATGCATTACTTCATTTAATTCCTAAAATTACTCTTTGAAATAGGCATGAAAATTACCATGAAGGTGAGGAACTTAGAGTGGACAGGTTTTTAAGGAGCAGAGCAGCAATTTGAACAGAATCTGTATTTCCCCCAGTGTTTTTGAATACAGTTAAATGAGTTTTATACCAAAATAGTAATAAATATACAAAAAAAATTTGTTGAATGAATGAAATAAATTATGAGAATCCAGTTTTATTTAAATTAAACTAGTAGTTATCCACTATTGTTTTTTAGAACTATTTGTTTTCATATATGATACTCATTTAAACCTCATAGTACCTTGTGATATTGGTTAAATTATTCTCATTTCCCCTGTAAGTTTTCTGGAACATAGTAAAAGTCAAGCAAATTTATCCTCACTTTATTTTGAAATATTGGTTAAATTGTTCTCATTTCACTTGTAAAACTCTTGAGACACAGAAAAAATCTGTGTCTTTTTTATCAAGATCGAATAGTAGGTAAATTAAGAAACAGACATCTTTAGTAAAATTTCTCTCATCCTTTTGTCACCCCATTTTTCAGTCTCCCACAGCTAATCATCCCTAACATACAAATATACATACTTTTCCTGAGAGGTTTGTATCTTTGCACTTCTTAAGTGAATTAATTTTGTTTTACAAATTGGAGATAGTGTTTTAGTATATCTGATGCAACTTCTTATATATTAATCCATTTTGAGAACTGGATATCTAAGGAATTTAGTCCCACTGATATTCACTAATGCTTCCCTCATTTAAAAAATCCAGTAGAAAATAATGTATCACTTAATAATTAAAACAGACTTCGGGCTGGGCGCGATGGCTCAAGCCTGTAATCCCAGCACTTTGGGAGGCTGAGGTGGGTGGATTACGAGGTCAAGAGATCGAGACCATCCTGGTCAACATGGTGAAACCCCGTCTCTACTAAAAATACAAAAAATTAGCGGGGCATAGTGGTGCGTGCCTGTAGTCCTAGCTATTCAGGAGGCTGAGGCAGGAGAATTGCCTGAATCCAGGAGGCGGAGGTTGCAGTGAGCCCAGATCGCGCCATTGCACTCCAGCTGGGGTAACAAGAGTGAAACTCCATCTCAAAAAAAAAAAAAAAAAAAAAAAAGAAAAAAAAGAAAAAACAAAAAAAAAACAGACTTCGTCTTCAAAAATTGTACAGAATAGGAAACAAGCTACATTGTCATCTCCTTAGATTTCTTTCCCCAAGTTACTCTATTGTCTTATTTAAGCCCTCTAGGTTATTATATAATAAAATATTATTTTGGGGGGGCTTGTACTTGGCTTGTGCAATCTATTTAAAAGATTTCTGATACCCGGTGCTGATGACGGTGTGAGAAAATGAGCCCTGTTTTACACTGTGAATGGAGATGCAAATTGGTGCTGTCCTTTTTCAAGGTAATTTGAAAAATAAGTGTCAAAATTTAATATAGTCATACTATCTTACCTATCAACCTGGACCTAAAATGTATCCTTCTAAAATAATGGTGTGTATGTATAAGGATGTTTATCACATTGTTGTTTGTAATGGTGACTTTGAAACAACCTAAGTATCTTTAAAAAACAGATTTCTTTACATATATCATAATACACAAACACAATATTTTATTTTGATGACATAATCTATATTTACAGTGAAAGAAGTTTATGATACAATATTAAATGCAGTAAAAAAAATGATAAAAGAGTGCATGTTTATTCATCCTTTAAGCACATATAACTATAGGAAAAACCAGTAAAAAGTGTTCATATTTGTCAGCTCTGAGTGGTGACATAACACTTACCTTCATTTTAATTCTTACACTTTTTTATATAATGTTTTCGGATGAGAATATACAGGTCTACATTCCCCTTCTCAAAATCAGTCTAACCAAATATGTTTTGGAAGTGAGGAATTGTTCAATTCTAGAATGGTTTTGTGATATGCACATTTTATGTTAGGTTACACCTTCAGTGGGGTCCAAGACAGCCTTCTGTAAACAAGCATATTGATATTTTGCAGCAAAATGTGTTAATATTCACAGTAAGTGATGTTAATACAGCTTTATGGTAATTAAGTTAAGGTCAGCTTTTTTTCACAATGAGTTGTGGCAAAATCCTTGTTTTCAAAGGTTGATTGATCAATTTTTTGAATTTCAGATAAGAATTCGTATGCCCGTATCAATTTTATAATCAGAGAATAATATACTGGAAAACATTTATTTAGATAAAGAAGTGGGACATGTCATTCTAAGTCTGAACCATGGAAGTGCCTCCTATGCTAATGTTGGCACGTCAGTTGATAGGCAGGTGGTTATGTGAAAATAAATTCCTTTTAGGAGACTCCTTTTTTGTTTTTGGTATCTATGTGATGCAAAAGTGATATAAAAGCTTTTAGTTTCTAGTGAAATGCTGCTTAGAACAAGTTAAATCACTTCATGACAACTGTCTTATATTGTGTAAAATGGAAGGACAAAGAGTGTTAATTAAGTATGGGCTATTAAAAAGAAGACTGTATGAGTGATTTTGGAAAACTATCTTCTGCAGCTGACATGTCAACAACTTGTTT